TTTCTGAAATAGCCTTATGGTTATATCTGTCATGGGATCAAAGCACAGGCAGCCAAGAACTGATATTGCTTTCATTAATGCTAGTTCTACCTTCCAATAAATCCACTGATGCTATTCTACCTAATTTACAAAACTTAAAGAGAAAGAATTGGTTCAGTGAAATTGTGAAGCTGGAGGCTTTATGGGAATGGCGTCAAGAATTACAGAGCTGATTAAAAAATGTTTCAGGACATTCTGTTTTCTTGATCGTTTCTTCAGGCACCTTTTGAAATACTGGGCTCCTTGCTCAATGTCTCCTGCATTTTGGAGAAGATGCAAAAGGTATTTTAAGATGGTCAGAAAGATATTCCCTGTTCTCTATAATTTTCTTCCCATACAAATTAGGGCTATCAGATCTCAACTACAAAAGTCCAGATAACCACTAAATAAAGAAAAGAATTAAAATTGTCAACAACTCTGATCATCTGGACTGTTTTAGTAGGTCTAATAGCCCTGTTACAAATTCAATAGTTCATGCAGCTCTTGATAATATCTGCTATCAGTCCTATAAGAGTAGAGTAGAACTCTTTTCTACTCCATCCATTTAAAAGTATAAATATTTTGTAAAAGTTTTGAATGTTTCAATATCTCCCACAATTTGTGTCATAATTTTTTAAAACACTAGCTTGGAAACCAATAGACCTGTTATACAAATGTAAGTTTATTGTTATTAAATAATTTCAAGCTGGCCTAGAGTGACCTCTAAAACTAAAAGACAATGCATTATGTTCTGTCTATTGTTTCAGATTTGTGTTTGTTGAGAGCAATTCAACTTTAGGCTAAATTTATACCCATTTATATGTTAAATCCAATTTTGTTGTCCTGATTCAACATTTAAGACAGATTTCTCCATGATTGCTGAGAGTTTAAAAGATGCCATTATATTATTGTGAAGACTTTAGGTTGGTGTGAGTGATCAAGACACCTTTTAAGATTACAGATGTCATTTATGAAAGCTTTTCATAATTTTAAAAATCCTTGCAAATAGAAATGTTGAAAAGATAAAAATTTCTTTCCTCATATGCTTGCTTCAGTTTTCAGTTTTCAGTTGGAGAACATTTAAAATTTCTCAAATGTGCATTCATTTGCAGCCTGAAATGGTATAGTACATTTTGCCATGTCAGCTTTTCATCACAAGAGTCTTAATTTTCTGTGCTTTATATACCCAAATCTTGATGAATGAAGGAACTTTGGCAAGGGTGTGGTACATGAAAAGTCACTATATTTATTTCCATTTTTGTTGACATTTCTGATATTGCAGAAAGATTCCCCCAGAAGTAATATATGAGGGGAAATGTTTACTGTCGAGTTAGACAAATATTTAAACATTTACTCTCCTTAATCCTTTCCACATAAACATGAGTTTAGGGAACATTTATATACATATATATATATATGTAAAGTCAGTTTATGTTCATACAGAAGAGGCTCCAAGCACTTTGAAAACCAATTGAAATGATGATAGAGCTAAAGTAAAACTGATCCTCTTGGGGAGTTATTGTACATTATCAAAAGTTTCTGGTTTCAAACTGTTTAATAGTAATGAGGTATGATCTTAATTTGTAATTGCATTTAATATTTCTCAATACAACTTACAACCACAATTGAGCCCCAAATTTCTGTGGCTAAGTGAGACAGAAGTTAAGTGAGTTTTGCCCCATTTTACAACATTTCTTGCCACAGTTATGAAGTGAATCATTGCAGTTGTTAAGTTAGGAACACGGTTGTTAAGTGAATCTGGCTTCCCCAGTGATTTTGCTTGTCAGAAGGTTGCAAAAGGTGATCCTGATCATACATGGGAGCATTATGACCATCATAAATATGAGTCAGTTGCCAAGTGTCTGAATTTTAATCACGTGACCATGACAATGGCGCAATGGTCGTAAGTGTGAAAATGGTCGTGTCACTTTTTTTTAGTGCCGTTTAAATTTTGAATGGTCACTAAATGAACTGTTGTAAATCAAGGACTACCTCTACGTTTTCCTAAATAATGGCTGCTAAAAGGGCCAGTTCAATGGGAACTCCAACTCATGAGTGTGGTTAATTCTTCCTTTCTGCTCATCGGTGTCCAAGAAGGCAATCATGGGTATCCAAGAACCCAACATGGCAGCTGTGACTAAAGAGTAGATGTGCCACTCCTTTTTTGGCACATCTTGGAAATAGGGCATCAATTGCACAATTACAATCACATATTGGCTTTTTTGATGCACATAGAGCTTGTGGATACTCCTGTTTTTGTTACAGTCTCAATTAAAATATCCTCCAAATTGTAATTGGCCCAGGAGTAAAGATGGGAAGGTCTGGGGAAAAAACCCCAGAAATATTGGGAGGAGGGGGGGAACCAGGATTTTTTTTTCCTGTTTTTTTCCAGGCCTTCCCATCTCTACCCAGGTGGAAATCTTCCACTGGTATGAAAATAAACATAACCAGAAATTATTCCAGGGTTGGCAACGCAGTAATAATAATAATAATAATAATAATAATAATAATAATAATAACAACAACAACAACAACAACAACAACAACAACAACTTTTGTACGTGTATACACAGTATACCCATACAACGAAATTCACTTAACACCCAAAGACCAGGTCCAACACACATTACAATCCCCAAAAACACACCCACCCACTACAAATTCCCCTAAACCACCCAAACATCCCCACAACAGACCAAGTAATGCTGTCCAGCAGCTCACTGATGGTGGCCCTTTAGTTCATTGTTGAGTGCAATTATAGCTCTGGGATAAAAACTATTCAGAAAATGTGCGGTCTGAGTTTTAATTGTTCTGTATCTTCTGCCGGAAGGCAACAGTCCAAAGAGATTGTAAGCAGGATGGGAAGAGTCTCTGAGAATGTTATGCAACTTCCTCAAACAGCAAGATTCGAAGATGTCATCCAGGGCTGGTAGCTGGAGCCCGATGATATTCCGGGCAGTTTTAATGATTCTGTGTAGAGCTATTTTGTCCACTTCAGAGCTGCTCCCATACCATGCAAGAATGCCGTATGTCAGGACACTCTCAATGGTGCTACAATAGTAGGACAGAAGTAGATTAAATTAAATTTTAGAAAAAGAATTGGCTAAATCTTATAAGATTCCCATGCCCCAGTCATCTCCAAGGTCAGATGTTAGCACTTGTAAAGACTGCTGATCCAGAATCTACACTATCCGAAGACTCCTCTTGCTTGAGCAAACAAGGGTTGGGAAGCCTGGCTGTTCTTGATCCAGCTAAGCAGGACTGGACCTGGATGGAGACTTTCAGGACATCCCTGTATTCTAAACTAAATTAGGAAGTTGAAAAACATCCCAAAGCAATGACAGCACTTCCGTACTGTTGCTGAGAGACAACATGGATGTAACCTGGCCAGCCTTCACTGTACTTAGAAGCTAAACAGAATTAAGTCTGTTTATTATTTGGATAAGACATTGCTAGGAAATCTCAGAACTGTCTGTTAAGCTGGGAAATTTAAAAAAAAAAAAATCCTGGCAAACTATTGGAAGTAGTAAACTACTACTACACTTGTGCCAAGTACAATTTTCTTTTGCCAAGAAAATTGCAGGATGATGTTCCGGAGTAAAGTGTGATTCAAGTTTTCTTTTTTCTTTCTTTTTTGTTGATCTGATATTGCAGTTTCCATTCCAGTTTCATAAGGATATGCATATATAGATATAATAACTGTGCACTTATTTGACATTACTGCATGGAATTTTCCAAGTGACAAAAATTGCCCTGGCCACCAAATAAGTAATAAATTCTGACATAGCTAAAATATCTCGATGCCTTGTTAAGACTCACTATCATGACGGAGCTAACAATTCAGAGTGAGTGACGTTGTTAAGTTGGTTTGTTTTTTACATAATGTGTTTGAAGTACGTAACTTTTTGGTTAGTCAGAAGCTTTTGCATTCCTATCGACAATACAATACTTTGCTGAATAAACATATCTGGACATTATTTTTGCTTTTATCTGCGTAATGAAATGTAGTGCCAGTAACTTTAATCTTCGGATAGGAAGCACTGCTTATAGCTCTGAACCAAAGGCTTCACCTGGTGTCTGAAATTTTTTAAAAAAGGGCTGTTTCCATTTAAGAAATGAAGTTCTACAACAGAGAGGTTACAAGGTTACTGTATGAAACTCTACATGTTTAGACAGCTTAATTGCAAAGAAAATAAGAGTTCCTTCAGAAAGAAATATTTGGAATACTCCTGGTATTGTGACCTTTAAACTTTTCTATTTTAATTAGTGCCACATATTTTCTGGCATCTTATCTAGCTTTTGAAGTCAGCATCACTACACAACCTTGTATTTATCTAACTATGCACCCTGAAAGTTAAAAAAAAAAAAATTAGAACTCTGGGGCTTCCTCAGTTCTTTGTGATATACTAACCTTTGCAGAAGAATAGTAAGTATTACTCAAGAAAATGCCTTTGGACCTCATTACAATGAACCTCTTTTCAAAGCTCTGGCTAAATTCAACAGTATGTCCTGCTGCGAATCTCCTCCTCTATCTTTTCTTGCACAAGATTGGCTGGAAACAATCAGCTTTTGCCAAAGTAAAGAAAATAAAAGTGGGAATTTTATTTCTTAGAATTATTTCCTTTACATGTAAAAAGAAATACTAGAGTACATTAAGCAAATGTACATATCTCCATGTCCAAACCAATTCTCAGTATTTCTTCTCTATTCCCCTATTGAGAGATGAATGACAATCAGTAAATGTAAAAAAGAGAGGAATTTATTACAGCTTGTCTCCAGAGTTGCCATAAACTTTATAAAAAATGATGAAAACGTACTCCTGACGTGACTTTTTTTTTTTTAGAAGGAGGAACCATTTCTTTGTGATTCCAGTTTATTAAGGGGAAATTGAGTCTGTGTATTACAAAGATGCCATGGAGGAGGGGGAGAGCACAACTTATTTCTGAAATAGGGCATTCGGTAATATTTTTAAATATCCACAGTTGTGAATCAAGATGGCCAGCCGCTGATTGAAGGCAGGTTGAAAGAAAAGCAAATCCGATGGAAATTCATTAAAAGATGGAAGACTCGCTATTTCACACTTGCTGGCAATCAACTTCTCTTTCACAAAGGAAAATCTGTAAGTTGAAGAGGGAAAAAAAAAACACTTTTTAAAAACTTTCTGTATTCCCCAACTCTGAAAAATGATGATGATTTTTTAGCATGCACTACAGATTTAAGACATAAGAATATTCCTACAGTAAGTGAAATCCATCCATCCATCAGTATTGTTTCATAGCTGTGGATCCAATTGGTCCTTAAAACTTTACACTGCTTTGTTTTCCAAAGCCATTTTTTTTTAAAAGAGTAAAGATAATCTGGGCTACCAGTTTTAGCAGTAGCTCTACCATGAATGGTAAGGGAAGAACTGTTCAGTTTTGGCACTTTTAGGGCAAAATGTTACAAGCAAAACCCAGTCTTAAGCCAAATGTACAGTACTCGTATTTTTTCTAGCTAAGGTAGATTTCTAACCTGGAGTCTAACCTGCAAGTCAATATGCAGTACGGTTGCTTGCGTCCCACCAGTTACGTTTATGTAGCATGCTTCATCTATTCAGTTGGTATCACTTAATCAAAAAGATATGATTTTATGAGTTTAGAATATTAAGGCCATAAAAGTTACCTTGTTCTCAAATGTGTGCATCAACATCTTCTGCAGCTGTACTATTTATTGTAGTTAATTTATTTGTAAATTATAAAATATATTATTTTAACAGTTTTTCCTAAGGTTTCTGAATCAGGTAATATGATGAGGCTTCATTAATCTGCTTTTTCATGTACTGTGATCCTATTGGGGTTCAAAAGTGTGGGTTCACAAAAAAGCAGCTTTGTCTTTTGAGATTTAAGACCCTCTTTGGTCTTATATTTTAGTTTTGGATCAAATTTTTTGCTTTTCAGCCTCTCCTATTTTGTTTTCTGTTTTTTTTATAAATAGAAACTGGGACATATCCACTGTGGCAATCACTTTGTGACTGTGTGCACTCCTCAGCAGCCATTTTGGTAATGGCATCCATGACATTTTTCAAAAGAGAGTCACTAGTCCTCAATGGAGAGAGCTTTGCTCTATGATGCTACATGCAGAAGTGACTCCCTCTAATACAGGGCTGTCAAACTCCCGGCCCACAGGCCGGATGCGTCACGCACAGGCCACACCCATGCTCAGTTTAGGAAAGGGGGGAAAGTCCTGATATGTCACGTGACACTGCTGTGACAACGTGAGTTTGACATCCCTGCTCTAATATATTGGCTTCTGCAGAATGAACAGTAGTTACATTCCCAAGTGAGCTTGTCTCATAAAATTTGCATTATCATTTGTTCTCACCTTTTGTAAGGCAACTGGTTCAGCATGTGACAGCCCATGTACTTATGAGCATGCCTAACTTTGCCTACATGATATTTTGGGAGCTCTGTTGGCTGCGGGTTACCATCTGGTTGCAATTTAAGGTGCCTTTGTTACATTTTAGGCCCTACATGGCATAAGGTCTAGACATCTCCAATATCATTGACAATAGGTAGAATCTGCCCATCCAGTTAAATCAGAAAGGAAAAATAGAATCCTGCCACTGAAAGAATATCATCTTCATGAACCCTGATGTTGAGTCTTCTCAATGATGGGTTCCCTATTCTGGAATACCAATCCCAAAATAGAAGTTTTTAACGAGCCCCGAAGATCTGAATTTTCTCAGGCTTTTGGGGTGGAACTGGAAAGAAAGGTTGAACTAACTCCTGGGCACATTGGTGTGATGAAATAGGAACAGTTGATGTATCCGTGGCTTATATTACTTAACCTGGTTGGTGGGTAAACTATTTTAAGTTCCTGGGAGTCTTCTGAATGAATTGGCATAAAAGACTAAGGAAAATAAGCTACAGGTAGAGAAGTGGCAAGTGAGGAGATATCTCACTAGTAGTTTGTCTTCAATCTTCTATGGCTATATTGGGAAAAGAGAAAGAGTAGGCAAGGATCAGAAAAGCAGATGACCTGTGGTGGTAGCTGGAGAAGGACAACAGTAGATATAGAAATCAGAGTGGGTGGGCTCTGTACATTTTGTCTAAATTGGAACTTGGAACAATGCCAATTTCATTCCCTCCCTCCCTCTCTCCTCTCATTCTTTTCTTTTATACCACCACTGGTTAAAGGAAAATATTTTGCCAGTGTAATGAAATCTTGTCAGTGAGGCTGTAATGAAAAAGCTAAGGAGACACCAGGCAGAGCTAAAAGACAATGACTGTTTTTTGCTGTAACTGCAGCTTTTGACTCAGATAGTGTGTTTGTGCACTAGCAAGCATGACTGACAAGGAGAGTTTGCTGGATTACTGTATGAACAAGAACTATGGGTAAAATAGCAGGAACATCCACAGAGGAGGAAAAAGTAGCATGCCCATTTTACATAAAATTCATTGTGTGGAGCATTAAGACATTGGTAAACGAACACTGGATCTCAGTTCTTTCCTCTGCTTGTCTCTCTACCAACATTTATTTGGTAAAACATGGAGCTGTGGTGGTGCAATGGTTAGAATGCAATGGTGCAGGCTGACTCTGCCCAGAGTCTGGAGCTCGATCCTGACTGGCTCAAGGTTGATTCAGCTTTCCATCCTTCTGAGGTCATAAAATGAGGACCCAGATTGTTGGGGATAATATGCTGACTCTGTAAACCACTTGAAGAGTGCTGTAAAGCACCATGAAATGGTATATAAGCCTAAGTGCTATTGTTAGCATTATTGCTATTTATTTTAACAGCGTTGAATGACAATAAGCCCATTACAGGTGGCTGGAATTAGAGCCAGCTGAATATGTTTCTATGCCAGACTGACTATGAGAACAAACAGAACACTTCTTAGTTCAGGATTATCAGATGGGCATCTTTCACATGCATTAAAAGTATTTAAAACCTAGTGGGAAAATTGGCCAAATCCTACATCTTTGGCTTCATTTAGAAGAGTATTGTAACATGTGCACTAATACTGAAAGGGTGGGGGGGATCATACATATTGATATCTTAGTAAACACCAATTCCTAAAAAAACAGTTCCAGTGAAACAGATTAAGTGTTTCAGAGATTTTTCCATACATGGTAAATTGAGCCTATATAGGTTCAATGTACTGTAGTACCGCTATTTTATGTATTCATTAGACCTAAACTGCACTTTTTATTCTAGCAAGTCAAAGCTGCACAGATAGCATTTTTACTTTCAGAGACAGGCAGTGACCACACCTAAGTCAGCCCAGTTAAATTCCAGGGATGAAGGTCAATAGTGGGTTCCACTTATCTTCACTACCAGTTCAGAACTCAGAAAGCGTGTGGCATTTCTACGCATGCGCAGAGTGTCCATGATGACATCCGGGTGGGTGGGCGGAGCCTCCCGCCACCGCCACTACCGGTTCGCCTGAACCGGGGTGAACCAGTAGAAACCCAAAACTGATGAAGGTCAACCTCAACCTGATACTCTCAATAGTCTCAGTACCATAATACATTGGTTTCTCTTTGTTTCTTGCTCATGTAGAAGTTTAAAGAGTATTGCCAGAAACTAATGTTAATTAATTTTTAATATGAATATTGACATTGCTCTTTCTTTTTCACATAAGCATCTTGGAGCATAGATAGTGAGGACAAGTGAGGACAAGATGGGGAGGAGGCTAAATGATTAATTGTGCATCATGATGTCATGTGTTCTGACCTGGCTGACCCAGCTCCCAAACACGACAAACCCTCTGCAGTTAAATAAATGATTCCTTTATTAGGAATGCCAGCAGCCCCGGCAAAACGTCTCTCTCCCTCTCACAGCAAGCTAACAAGTCTATCCAGCAGGGAGATGAATAGTTGTCTGCCTTACCTATTCATCTCTGCCCCCTGCCTTTTATCCCCAGAGCCAGAGTGGGGCTTTGCTAGAAGCAGTAGCTCTTCCATCCCAAGGTTTGGCCCATAGATTTCTACTGCTCTCCTCTCCTCTGCCTTCTGCACATCCACACATCAGGCACTGGACCCAGCTATTCCTTCTCTTCCTCATCAGCCATCTCCAGACCTGGGGGCTGTTGACTCTCCATCTGAGGCTGATGGACAGCCAAGGCTATGCCTCTGTCTCTATCTGTGACAGCTCCATTCCTTCTTCCCCCTTGGAGCTCTCAGGTTGCCTTGATACTGGCCCTGACTCCCATGCTGTATCCTCATCTGATTTGGCTGTTGGAGGGGCCGGCGGCCAACAGGCCACAACATAATGGTGAAAATACTGGAATGTATATATTTGCATTAGACATCAGGAAGTAAGTACACCTGGGTGGAATTTCAATCATGGCAACACTGCACATGAGTCATTATTTTAGCATAATCTTTTGCTGGGGATATCTTGGAGCCTGAATGGCTGTTGAACTACCTTGTTGTCTACATGAAACTGGGATGAAAGTGCTTAGACTGAACAAAAGAATTAACAATAACAATGCTTTTTTCTGAAGAGAGATAAAGCTCTGTTTCCTTCTCCATCCCTCTTTCAGAAAGATGATCCAGATGATTGTCCCATTGAACTGAGTAAAGTCCAGAGTGTCAAAGTGGTAGCCAAGAAGCGCCGAGATCGCAGTCTTCCTCGGGCCTTTGAAATCTTCACAGACAATAAGACGTATGTCTTCAAGGCCAAAGATGAAAAAAATGCTGAGGAGTGGCTACAGTGCATTAATGTGGCAGTAGCACAAGCTAAAGAACGTGAAAGCAGAGAAGCAACCACATATTTGTAAGAACTATAGATTTTCTTATGTGTTCTCGAAGATCTTTTTCAGTCATAGATAACTACATGGAGTATTTCGATATTTGAATTGCAAAATATATTATACAGGCTGTATAATGTGTTTTGCAGTGAGAAATGGCACCACTGAGATCTATTCCATAATATTCCTTCATGATCTTTGGATATCACATAGAGTAATTCTGTGTGTTCATAGAACTGAGACCATCACAACCAGAAATGCCTGTTCAGGGGCTGGGCCCTGTTGAAGAGATGGAGGATGCATACATAAGTATTTAAATAATTGCGGTAATTGAGAAGAAACTTAGGACTGATTAGCAATCTGCTTCAACTCGTCTATGCTGTACTTTTAATGCATGCTTATACCACATTTCTTTGGAGTCATATACATGAATTCCAGATATAATAGCTGCTCTATTTTATCCTGACTGATTCCCATTTTTTGAGTATCCAAACCTGCCATTGTACAGTACTTTCACTGAACCCAAACCAAGGCAGTTGGCTGGCCACCATTGGATGGGACAAAGTTTAAAAATATCTTTCCCACTCTGAGATAATAGGCCATAATTTGTAGCTTGTAGGTTCAGTGATTTAATGCTAGTCATAGAGTACATGTGCAAAGGAGAAAAAGATATTTGTTTGAGATTATGAAAGAAATCAAACTTGACTATTTTATACTTTTTGCTATTCCACCTGCCACTTAGCGGATATATGAATCCATTTAAATTGGTGTAATTCATACAGGACAACTGAAGCATATGGTTTCTTGCTCCCATGTGCTATATTCTAGTTGTCTAGCTGCAAGTCAACCATTTCTGGAGGGAGGCAGGAGTTGAAGAAATTGCTGCCATCAGTAATGAATGTACAGCCTCGTGTTCATTAAACATACTTACAAATCTTATCAGCCTTGACTTTATGAATTATGAATTCAGGACTTTGTTAGTCTGCATGATCTCAGAAATGTTATGTCTGGAGTTAGTTCCTGTGGCATTTAGATAAGGAAATCAGTTGATAACAGTAAAAGAAAAAGCATTGATAATATAGGCTCATACACAGATGGCCTTATCCGAAGAAACTCTTCACAGTCCAGAGAAACATTTATTTCAATCGAGCAAATGTTCTGATCATATGATGTTATATAAATGTTCATTATCAATCCCCTGAAGATATATGTATTAAAATGTATAATCTAACAAATTTGGTTTCTTGTACTTCTGAGATGTCCTTCTTTCTCCCATCTCTATAGCTTCCCTACCATTGTTTATCTGGATGGGAACATAAAACAAATTTAATCATGCCTTTGTGACTCAATATGTTTAAAAAAAAAACACCCTGTTTTACTCCACTTTAAAAAAAAAATTCAAAATCAGATGAGTGATCGGGTGTGTAAATGAAAATGAATAAATTATTCAGAAGCTATTGTTGAATGTCTATGGAGATTCCCAGTCATCCAGGTCATGGTTGTCCCAAAGGTGCTTTTTCAAGAGGCAACTGGACTTTCTTGTTTTTCTTTGAAGATGTTTCACTTCTTAGCCAAGAAGCTTCTTTGACTTCTTGGATGAGAAGTGAAACATCTTCAAAGAAAAATAAGGAAGTTCAGTTGACTCTTAAAAAAGCACTTTTGAGACAATTTATTGATGATTTTTTTAATACTGCAGTATTAATACTTCAAGAGCAATAGTTTTTGGAAAACAAAAATTGAAATAAAATATTTACATTTTTGTCGATGAGCTGAATTTCATTACATTTGAATGGCCTCCACTCTACTGGTGTTTTGAAGGAGTCCGAAGACTTCACTCTTGGCCCAGGCCATTGGCAGGTGGGATTGAAATCCCTTTTATTCAACATTTATTTTGCTGAAGATTTTCATACCCTCTGTGCTATGGCATGTCCCCTTGGGAATTAGGAAGAGCATAGCCTATCTATGCAGAACCTATGAATGTTTCTTTTGGCACAATTCTTGCGACCCTAAGGCCCAAACATAAAATATAAATACATGCCTTAATGTATCTCAAGTTATAGACTTGGCATTTAGTCATGCCGGCCACATTTATTTATTTATTTATTTATTTATTTATTTATTTATTTATTTATTTATTAGTTCAATTTATATGCCGCCCTTCTCCGAAGACTTAGGGCGGCTTACAATGCACTTACAGCAATAGCCTTCATTCTTTTGTATATACCTGCTTATTAGGGCTTTTGGCCCCCGCATAAGTGGTGTTTCTACAAAGTCAGCTTATTGCCCCCACAATCCGGGTCCTCAATTTACCTACCTCAGAAGGATGGAAGGCTGAGTCAACCTTGAGCCTGATGAGATTTGAACTCGCACTAATTGCAGGCAGCTGGCAGCTAAGCATAACAGCACTTAGTCTGCTGCACCATCAAGGCACATGACCATGGAGACGTCTTCGTGCCGGCCACATGACCACGGAGACAGCGCTGGCTCTTCAGCTTTGAAATGGACATGAGCTGCGCCTCCTAGAGTCGGGAACGACTAGCATAAATGTGCGAGGGGAACCTTTACCTTTTATCTAGCAAGAGATACCAACCAGGCCAACAAAGGCTTACTAAAACCTACTAGGAAAAATATCCCAAACAGACTGATGATGATTAATAGATAGATAAGAGAGACAGATAATCTTATGATGACCATGTAGACACATCTCTGATGACAAATGCTTATTATATTTTTTAGAATTGCTAATATACATCTGGGGATATGATTGGGAGAAAATTAGATCAGGATCTGAATAGAAATAAACTATTACAGAAGAACATAAAGAGCCTATAGTTATAGGGTAACATACTTTATTGGTGGTATTCTTTAATTCGGGAAAGTATTTTAAAATGCCCTATCTTAAACACAGTTTTGAGCATCCTAGAACCTATGTGATAGTTTGGGAGAGCAAAAACGAAAAAGGAAAAGACAGAAGCCTGCTTTTGATCAGGGGTGAAATCTACTTACCTTCCCTACTGGTTCGGAAGTGCATGCACCGTCATCACGTTTGATTTTTGACCCTCTATGCATGCTCTAAGTCGGTTTTGTTTGCATTGACAGTAAGCAGAATACTTTCTGTTAAGTATATAGATGTCTTCTGATCTGAAGCTAAACACCACTGACCTTGTCTGATATTGTGAGTTTCCGATTCAAATTAATTCTTTTCTCTAAATGAGAAAGACAATTATCACATAAAGTGAGCCACTTTAAATCCAAGTTAATCTGCCTATAGAGTTTAGGCAGGCATGAGCTCTTCTACACGAAGAAAAGGTTCCTTTGTAGTAGTCTAAGAACTGAGGGTTACCTCAACAGGACTGCAAGCGAGGGATATTAGTGCTTACATTTTATTTCCTATGTGGCAATATTTTGACCTGTGTAATATAATCACTGTTTTCTTTTGCTTCACTAGAATGTGTCTGAAATCATATAGCTTAAGACATTATTTTACTTAAGTTATCATCAGCCATCTTAGATCCTCCTTTTCACTTTAAGGACTATCGAAACAATGTGGAGTATAACGCTGTGAAACTGAAGACACCTCTGGGGTTGGAGCCAAACCTAATTGCATAAAATCAGCCTACGTTTGGTCCCCCTGTAGATGATTATACTTTGGAATACTATAAAAGGAACCTCACTGCCATCAGGCTTTCCAGTTGCCCTTCTAGAAAAAAAACTTAAGCAAAGCAAAAGCCATCAATCAAAATATAGGGGAAGGAGTCAAAAATATCTATATCCCACCGCTGCAGGTTTTCTTTTTCTTCAGCGGCCAAATGAACTTTATAGGTTTTGTTTTTCACTGTGACACTCAGAGTAATGTCTGCATTTAGCTGTGGAGCTCATATGGTCGTTGTAATGCAGGCTATATTCGCTTACTTTGGTTGCTTCCATAAGTGTTTAGTCTGGAATAAAATCTTCATTTTTTATTTTTTTTTAACCAAAGATCTGGATGATATCGCCAATCCACTGCATTCCTCTTTTTTTGGCTCTAATGAACACAATTGTGGGTTAAATTTTATGTCCGTTGCGCTATTCAGTCAAAAAAGGTTTATATGTTGCCAATAATTTATTCAGCAGAGGGCCCAGTTCACTTCTGAACATTTGCCCAAAAGGATGATAGGTGGGATTAACCTGAATTTACTTAGCATTTTAATTCATTGGCAGCATGTATGGTTTGCATACATGCATTAAGGTTCAATCCTAAACTACTTCAACCACTGGAATGTAAAGCAGATAATGGGGAGACTCTGACTAAGAATTATTGCCACTAAGCAGAACTTAAATGGATCAGACAGAGATCTGATCTGGTATAAGGCAGATTCGTAACATAATATTAAAACCTGAGAATACATTGCCCTATAATTACATAGAGAGACCTGAAGATAGTACTGGTAAATGATACAAGTCCATAATGGAGCTAATGGCATTTCCTGAAAACCGGTGGCTTATATCAACTAAGGGTTTGCTATGTTTTTTCCCCCCCTCTCTCCTGCTATTGCTTCCAAAGAAGAGGAATTAACCCTACTACTTCTTGAATCAGAATCACCAGGGTGGAAGGGACCCATGTATTGGCTAATATTGTTTAACTAACTATGAATCTCTCTGGGATGGGACCATTCATCACATATTGTCCTAGTTTATCGAGAAGGATGTTGTGGTTAATTTTCATCAAAGGCCTTTCTGAAATCAGTTTGCTACATCTACATTTCCTTTGTCCTACATTGTCAAAGAAAGCAGTAAGATTTGTCTGGCATGATCTTTATTCAACAAACCATGTTAGCTTCTGGTAATCACCCTATTTGTTTATAAATGCTTGCAAACCCATTTCTTGATTATTTTTCTAGGGTTTTCCCAGGTATTAATGCCTATCTGATAGATTTGTAATTGGGCATAGTTTTCCGCTTTTAAAAATATTAAAACAATGTTGACTCTCTTTTGGCATTTCTACTATACTCCAGGGCTTCTTAAACTTTTCAGTCACTGGCTCTAAGAAGACATTCACCATTTCCTTTAATACCCGGGAATGCATCTGGCCCAGAAGATTAAATCTTTTCAGACAACTGAGGTTCCTCTTACCAATTCCTTACTATTTTGGTCTGCATTTTTTGTTTCTCAGTTTTGCTTGTGATCTGTCCAAATACTTTTTCCTTTTGAGAAATAGCAGGTGCAAGATAGAAATTAAGCAGTTCAGCTTTCTCCTTGTTAATCTTTATCATCTTTCCATATTTTCCAACTAGTGGACCAACCATTTCCTTGACTTTCCTCTAGTTCCAGACATATCCAAATAACCTTTTTGTCCTTATTTTTTGCATTCCTAGAAAGCCTTAATTCATCTGAGCCTTAACCTTCCTAATTTCCCTGCTGCATATTTTGGTATATTATTGAGTACTCCTTCTTTCTTCCTGCTTTGGTGGTGGATATAGTGATGAAGTGTGTGTGGATGATGTAGTGGATGTTGCTTTGGTGTAGCAACAACCAACGTCTCACAAGATAGCTGCCTAAGAACTTTATTCAGGTGAGCACAAACACATTGTAGCAACCCTGAAAAGCAGCAAAAGGAAATGGAACATCTATACCAGAGGTTCCCAACCTTTCAGACCTCAGGGACAACTAAATTCATAATTTTAAATCCCACAAACCACTAATATGATCTGCCTAATGACCGGCTGGGTGAGCATGGCTAGGTGGTCATGTGACTAGGTGGGCATGGCCAACTCAATGGCCAACTCAATGTAACTCACATTGAGGGGCACCTCGCCGGCCTCTACTCACCCCTCCGCTGCCCAGCCACTCCTCGCCTCCCTGCCCGGGCTCCTTGGGGCCCCTACAGGAAGCCGTTGTTGGAGCTAAGCAGTCACCATGAGAAAGAGTTGGCAAAACAGCTGGTTCAGTTCAAATTGGATCTGACCGAGAAGGAGGCTCAGCAGAAGAACCTCACTCAGGACTACGAGCATAGGCTTTCCAAGCAGAGGGAAGATCTGCAGGTGTGCAAGGTCAGGTACTGGCGCCTGGAGGCTCAGCGGGCTAAGATGGTCAGCCAGTTCCAGGCCATGATGCAGTCCCAAAGCCCTGCACCAGGAGACTGAAGCATACCCCGAGTTGGAATTTCTGCCCCCCTCCAACCCACACAAAAAGACCCTGAAGGGGGAGACTTTCTGCAACAACACAAATGTTCATTGCACATATCTGGCCCAGGAGCCATAGTTTGAGGATCCTTGATTTAGTGCAATATAAAAAAATAGAAATAATTTTTCTGTGGACCACCAAAATTTTCTCACAGACCATCAGAGGTCCACGGA